AGAGCGAATCAAACCATTGCCTCTCCCCTTTTTTTGAGCCAAAAGTAGTGTAATTCTGCGCACTGATAGATATCGCGCTCCAATCACATGCGGTGTCCTTTGGACTACGTGGCGAAAAATGCATCGCCGGATTGTTGAGGCCACAGATTTGGTTGGCCTAGGAGGTTTTCGACATTCCGAGCACTAGGACAGTACTATACCCAATGGCAGAGCCTTTGATCGACTCGAAATTCTCTTTTTGCTTTTTTGTGTACTAGAGAACTCAAAATGCGCTTTTTTGCCTTTTCATTGTTATTTTGGTTAAATAAGGATTTCCCTGCCGATTTTTACGTCAAGTGGAACTTCGTAGGTTCTCGCGAAGTCATGGGGGACTTCGTTTCCAAAAAAGCTCCAAACCAACGCGTGCCGGGCCCTGTCCTGGGTCCGCTTGGCCCTCCTAGTATAACGCTGAAGAAGGTAACGGAACTAATGAACGAGCCGTCCTGTACTCGTGCAGTAAGTCTTTATTGAAAAAGACGACATGCTCCTTGTATTAAATTGTTTTTGGGAAAGAAACTTCATAAGAGGTGTCTATATCGAATATGTGGAGAAGTACCGCGTAGCGATGTCATAGCGTCCTCAATGCATAAAACTGTTACTTTTGAGAGCGCATTTTTTGGAGATAACTTCCGTATAACAATGTCCGCTGTTACTGAACCAAATATGATAGTAGATGTATAGCACTTGAAAGCAGCGTCTAGACAGACGCCAGAGCCTCAAGAACCTTGCCCACTTCCTCGCATGGCCAAGCCCCTTGAACGAAATCTCCTCAGCCCTTGACGTACTTTAAAATGGCAAACATCGAACACATAGCGTTTACCTGTTAATGCTTGCGTTGGACAAGAATAGCATTAGAAGCATTTGTCCGGATTCTCACAAAATAGCCCTAAAAAGGTGGTTTTTGAGGAACTCATGGTACTTTTGAGTGCCATATTTGGAATCCTCTGAAAAGGCCTAGATAATGTAAAGATATGAAAGTCTATCTGCCTGGACGCTGCCCTTAAGGAGATATAATAATGGATGTGTCTTGATTAATGTAAATTTCTTAACCTCTTATTCTCAAACACTGATTCCTTTTATGAAAACAATTTTTCCCAATTTTTCTTTTCTTAGATTTGAGTGCCCCTTCCAGTTTCTTACCTGTGCTTTCGTTTTCGCAATCACTTCACATCTCCTATCACTCTTTTGTCTCCAAATTCGTAAAAAATTCGGACTGAAATTCAAGGGCCGCACGCACTAGACTGAAAATACAAAAACCGTGCTAGGCTGAAAGTTTTGAGAGCCGCGTTGCACCTTTCAACACGTAAGGGCCGCGAACATTCCGGTGTAGTTGCCTGATTTAGAATACTTTTGCTATGCTTCGGAAATTTGCTTGGATTAATGAGAAGAACAACGTAGACAAGCCGCCGGAACCAGCGACAGCACGCGGAAGAGATATCAGACATATCAAAGAGTGGCTTTTGAAGGGCGTACCTCGTTCTAACGATAAATTGACCTTTTCCATACTAATATCCGTCTTAGCCAATCCTTGACTGTTTTTAAAATGTCTGTAAAAAACTCCAAACTTCTTCGTGGGTTTCGAGCCGGCGGTAAAGCGAACTTGCTACACTTATTGGAGTTTTTTTGGCTGCTTTTCGACGTTCTCTTTTTCTTCTGTTCTTAAGGACATTCCAATACCACTTTTTATGAGCACATTCCCAGCTCTGCCGCTAGACTGTCGAAAGCATGGCTTTCCTCTGGGACGAGCTCATGAAACGTATGGTTGTAACTAACAAGGAAAGGATCCTCAGTTGAAGTGGGGTTTTCACACGTAATGCATATCAATCTGCTGGTCTTGGGGCACAATACCAGTTCTGTGTTCCTTAGCTGCTCAATGATCTTCAGGGAAAGGTTATGAGCGACGGTTCCCCACGATGACCATTGCGGAGAACTATGGCGCAGGTGGTGAAGAGTTTGCGCTCTCCATGGGGTCAAAACTTTGCATTTTTGCAAATTGTATCCTATAAATCCGCAGACGATTTTCAACGAGGGTCTGCTTGCTCGAAAACCGTCTGCAAATTCATAAAATACAACTTGCAAAATTGCAAAGTTTGGCCCGATGGGAAACGCAAACTCTTCACCATTTGCGCTAGTCTCCTCAGCTATCCACCCGCCTATCCGCCCAGACCTGTACATGCCTGACGCCCCAGACTTATGAAGTGCAGTGCTCATCGTGGGTACCCGTAGCTCATAACTTTTCACAGAAGGCCACTGAGCAGCTAAGGAACACGGATCTGGTATCAATGCTCCAAGACGAGCAGAATGATATGTATCATGTGTGGAAACCCCACTTCGACTGATGGTCCATCCCTTGTAAGAATGTACCCATTCGTTTCATTTCTCAAACGCTGAACAACATCAGTGGAAAGGAAAGGAAAGATTGGAAAGCTGGAAAGCCTAGATTTGGGTTCCTTATGGCGAGAAGGCTCCAAAAAGGCGAAAATCTGAAAAAAGAAATTGCCAAGACACTGCCTTGAATCATCCGTTGCCGAAGTAAAGGCCACTCGAGCGAAGGTAAAAATCCTTGGATTGGTCGCGATCCTAGCCGCAGTGGACATGAAGTCACTCATCCATATTACTTTCTTCTTTCAGGGTTAGCCTTTACCCCTTTTGAAACTATCGATTTGACATGCAAAAATGAAGGTAGTTGTTTGACTTACGTTTGCATGAATCTTACTAACCGGGATTTCGCTCCAAAATCTGCCCAACTTTTACCTTACTTTGATCTGACCTCCGTAGATCTCAAGTGGCAGTGAGATGCCCGCGTGTCTTTTAACACTCTGTCGTATGGGAGAGAGAGCAATGTCGGAATGAAATGTAAACGCTGCTCAAAATTCTTTCATCTCGGATTACAATACTCAAAAAGCACTAGAAAATTTAGGACGAGAAGATTGTTTTGACTGCCGACATTTATCCACTTCGCAAAAATTAGACTTCACTCCGTATCACTATCCATCGCTCTTTCACCATATCAATGCAGCGCAAAGACAAGCCAATATTACGTTGAAATAAGCCAAACCACAACAACCTCTTATCACAAGAAAAATTTGGTCAGAAAACAACAGGTGGCTTGTGGCTCCGTCCTGATAAGCAGAAATTTGGGTATAAAGGATTTTACAGGGTCGATTGTTGTCGCCTTTCTCTGAGACCGAGAATTAGTATAAACCTTGCGAGAACACTTCTCATGAAAAGTTTTGAAAAAATTCACAGCATTCTTCGGCATTTCTAAAAGTAAGTTTTCCTCAGGTACTTTCTGGGTACCTCGCGAGATGGATACGAGTATGGATGACGCGGCATATTTCATTCGAGGCATACCCCCTCCTTCTCCCGAAGTCAACAGATCCCAAGAATGAGGACATTGACCTTAGGCTCGTCCAGAGTTGCATCGGCCAGCGCCATCTCAATCAATACTAGGCGCGTTGTAAGCACTAGCACGGCGCTAGCACGGCGCTGGCACAAAGGGTGGACTAAATTTGCCGAAGCGATAGATAAAATTTCAGGCTCAAATATTCTAGATCCGAATCATATATGCCTGATATTAATCAATAATTCCGGGATATTTGACATCCTCAGTTCCCCTCTTACTTATGTGATCAATTATTTATTCGGAAATTGTAAAAAAAAAGATGCGTGTTCCAATAAGGGAAAAAATACGTAAACGTAAATTGCTTCCTCACCTCGAAAATTTTCCATAAACAAGTGAACTGAAGTTCAGAGAAAATATTCAAAAGGAATATCAGACGCTGTGCCCCCAAGTTCAGAGCGCATCAAGCCTGATTTGTATTTCACAAGCTAACAATAATCTCAACGTGATAACAACAATCTCAACGTATTCAATTCCTTCTTCCTCTTCCTCATCAATGATTCACTTTTCCTGCCAATATGAGAAAAGATATCTTTGCACAGGAAAGAAACGGTGTTACCGTGATGTATGATCTCTCTCTACCTAAGCAAATTTCTATGTAAATTTACAATTCGAAGTCATGATTCACTGATAATACTATCAATATATTGCTCTTCCCAACCCTCTTTTCTGCCTCCATCAACTCAGAATAGCTTTGGGATGGCCAAGACTCCATGTGTTTGAGGACAAGCTTTTCAGTTATTGACTAGCATTCTCATCATACTGCACAGAAACAGCTGCCTTGACTTTTTTCAGCTTGTCACATTTCCGCATTAAGAACAATCGATTGTCAAATTCAAGCATCTGTCACGACCTAGTCGACGGGCTAAGAACAAGCTCCAGCGAATAATCCTTTTTTTACACAATTAGTAATCTTTCCAAGGTGCACAATGCGAGGGAGAGCACGTGCAATCAAGACGATGTGATGGAAGCAAAGTGCAGCATGGAACAACCAGTGCTACTAGAAAACAACTTCCGGAATTCATCTGGGGTTCATGGAGCGACTGGAATGAGTGGGGAGTCTGTTCATGTCCAGAAAATCAGAGGCGCAGGTGAGCATCTCCTGATTTTATGAAGGAAAAAATGTGAATGATGACATTTACTGCCACTAAGCAAAAGTTCACTCTGTCTCTGATTCTCTCTTAGATTTACTGCGATTTTTTTTGTAACTCTTGGACCAAGTGAATGTGCTGAGTAAAATTGTGTTTCATGGCTTCAAGGCCTTACCTTTTACTGTAGTGAAACTACTGAGTGGGCGTGGCGGCGAATGCCAGTCATTCCCCGACATTGGGCTGTCAGCCACGCGCTTTCATCCAACCACAGCGATTGACTTATGGAACCCACACTCCAGAACTGATGGGAGGGCCGCTCAAGCCACGCCCAATCGGCATTTAAAACGACGAAAGAACCACTTTTAACATTCCTGACAATGAGTTGAGTAGCACAGAGTAGAACCCGGAAAATTCAAAATGGTTCAAAAAATGCCCAAAGTCTTGATGCCAGTGTTTGATCATCTAGAATCCGCCACTGCATTGGATGGGAGTGTTCTGGCTGCAGTTTTGAGATCGGCGAATGTGAAAGACGTTGTGCCATAGGGCGATGGTGGGGTGATTGGAGCGAATGGTCAAGCGGTTTGTTTCTTCATTCTAGCAGCTTTGACGACTGATATTATACTGTTCTTACGTTGCTGACAACATTCGTGCGAAAAAACTGACCAGGGTCGCAAAACAGGAAAACATTCGCTCCAAGTCCAGTTTCTACGCGTAAATGTTGTCCTCACCGCAAGCGCACTATATTGATCGTGAAGTGTATGAAACTGTACTAAATTTGATGCGATTTTCATTCGAATAATGCAAATTTTCCCATCCGATTAGGAATATCTAAAATTCGCTATCGCTCTTGGTGTTCGCTGGGCATTGATGGAAAATCCCTCATCACGTCGGTTGTCAACGAAACACACTTATCTACAGCTGAGGGTGAGTTATTACAACGATCGAAAATTACACTCTGGTGCCACCTGCACTCATGACTCATTGTTTTATGCACTTTTTACAGTGCTGCAGGGGGAGGGGATTACAAGACCACAAAATCGCTCGAATTTTGTGATCAGAGTACGAAGATCCAAATCAGATTGCAGGTGTCCATAATCTTATTGAAACAGCAAATTCTGGACTTTCTTCTTGTGAAAATACAATCGCTAACTTTGCAATATTTGCAGTTCTCTTCCTGGATCAAAGTGCAAAGATAATAATGATATTCCAGACTCCCAAAAAAATTGTTTGCACATTCCAGAATCTGTCTGGAGCGACTGGGAACTTCGTCATGGGGTCGCTTTTCGTTACCGAATTCCATCAAACTTCCCGCTCAACGCCTCCATCGACATCCAGCATCAACTGATCTCTTACAATTCGCCAACGCGTGTGTCGTTAACGTTCTGTGTGTACCTGAGCATTGCCGCTATGATAACGGGTTTTATAGCTCAATCTAGTGTTTCATGGATGTTTTCTTCATGCAGAGAGAGAAAATATAGATACTGAAGTTCTGGCCCATTGCACAAGAACTTCACACATTTATCGGTCACATTTCTATCAAATTACTTCTTTTTTTCTTAACAGTCATTTCAATGACGGAAAGGTCAGAAATATTTGGGTAGAATTATTTGGTAGACTGTTAGTGACTAGTGTTTATCGTAAGTTCCCAATCACATGCAGCTTCCTCCTAGCCACCTACGTCTACAACAAAAAAGGAGGCTAGAAATTTTCCTTTTTGAGAAGAAAATTTTCAAAAGGCACGGAATCTTTCGCGGTAGAAACTCCCAAGGAAGTTCAAAGTATGGTATGATGGGTCTGAATGCATAAGTATCACTTGCGCGTAAAATACAGCCTTAAGGTCCAAGATATGAAACGTGTGCTTAATAACCATTTTTCACGCGCAAGTATTGTCGACACCGCAAAAGCACTATATGATCACCCAGTTTTCTAGACTATATATTGTCAAATGCTTCATACGTCTTTGAATGTATGGTATTTTGATATAATAAGGAAAAGCCACCTAACTTAGCTCGGCCTTTGGTAAAAGGCATATATATTTTGAATCAACTTCAAACGCTGATTCCAAATATGCTACTCCTAGCTGCCACGCACCATTCCAAAGCGAGTTATGGGCTTTTTCCTACGCAGATCTGGCATACTACTGAACATGAGAAGACTGCCTGTAAATACAAATCTGCAAGAAAAAGGTGCTGAGGCATTGAAATAGAACAAATCCAATCTTTCCTCGCTAAAAAAAGCTTAACGCAGGTGTATCAGCACTTAAATGATGATGACGTGACGTCTGTGAGTCGATGAGCATGCCGGTTTTGCGCAGGAAAAAGCCTAACTCGCTTCGGAATGGTGCGTGGAAGCTAGGAATAGCATATTTGGCATCAGCGTTTGAAGCTGATTCAGACTGTACATGTCCCTTGCCAGCCGAGCTAAGTTACTTAGCTTCCCTTGTAAGATGAAGCGTACGAGAATCGTACAAAGATCCTAAGCTGCCTCACAAAATCTGTCATGCTCTGCGGAGAGCAGCATCCTGCAAGAATAAATCTAGAATGGATTGGTGCAAGAATATTGAATGTGCCCCGACACAGAGTCATCATCATCTCTCTTTGATTTATCTACTAGTACCTTCAATATATTTAAAACCAGTCGGCGCACAACGGAGACGTTAATCAGATTCATGATATATACAAAAAAGTAAAGATACAGGTGCACCGATATAAATCATCACTTATGCCGATTTACTTCATCCCAGTCCATTGTCATCATGATTGTGTCAGCAGTTCTAAAAGAAATTTTTTATGAGAATTGTTGAACACCACTCGCTCAAGTTTGCTGCAGGAATGGTCTGGACTCAACCACTAAAAAAGCAAGTTTTCACGCCACCCCTCCCCTCTAAATTTCCCATTCCTTCTCGTCCCCCCCCCTCCCGCCTCGCGCCCCAAAAATCTTTATATTTCTTCTTCATAACATTAGCTGTCGTCGACTTTAAAGCTCCTTTTCGGAGTAGCCCTATATGGGTTCATAATGCAAGTCAACTGAATTTATTCGCAAAGATTAATTTTTTGAAAATTCTGTAGGTTCCAGGTGGCTTTCAAAAGATCAGGTGCTGGCAAAAAAAATCCAAAAGCATGCCAAAAACTCTATAAATTCATGGCTACCTGAGCACTGCGCTATCCATAACTCCAATGGGTGTTTTGAGTTGGTCAACGATGAAATGGCTTCCGTCTCCCTTCATGGCTACCAACACACCTGTTACGCTAGTTTTTTCTTGCATCGACACGGTCACCTGAATGAGCCGATTGAGACGAAACCCGAAACAACTTTCTTGATTTTTTTTTGATGGAGCAATTGCAGCAGTCACGCGAATGAGGGGCACTGGATTGTATAATTGTATTTACCAGAAACGCCAGCTTTACAATTGAGACTAAAACCTATGATAGCATTGTTGATGCGTCGGTTTGGTTAACAGCAGATATGAACGAATTGTATCAGCATTAATTATTTGATGTGATAAAACCAGAAGCTTCCTTATCAGCTCTTGAGACACAGTGAACCGTATTCGAAATGTCGAATTTCAGGAAAAAAGTCACCTATATCCCTTCCACGTCCTTTAATAACACCTCTTTCCAACTTTTTAGTTATGCAAATTCGACGACTGACATGGTGCCGCTCTAGTGCATATAACAATGCACAAAAAATATCGGCAAAAAGCAACACACTCGACATTTGCGCCGCATGGTCATTTTCACGCAAAAATGTTGCTAGCGATGCAAGATTTTAGATGTCAAGTCAACTGTACAGGAACAAGTTATCAGCAATCTAGAAAACGCGCACATTCATGCAAAAGATGAAATGCATTTCTTTTCTTTGCAGTAAATCAATGGCATAAAGACATTATTCCATCAACTGCCAATTTTCCCAATGTTCTGGTACTGTACGACATCTATCAACTTTGTAGATGTGCATAGAATAAAACAAAACCTCGTGACGTTTTCGGGCTGAGAAGAGATGGGATGTCTTTCGGCTACGATCTAGCAGCCAGAACTCAATGGATGCATCCCGCATTAATCGATCGAAGTTCAGATGGTGCTAGCACGACTCTAGCACGGTGCTGGAACGGCAGTGGAAAACGCAACTTTGGACACGATGCGATTGGGAAAGCTTTATTAGAATAGACGCTACTGCAATCTACGTTCCTCTCGTTATCGCCACTTCTGCCTGCTATTTTTCTACATCGCACAAAGGAACCATATCACAAATTTCTTATTTTGACATTAGTCATCTGTGACGTGTCTTCGTTTCACCATCGACAGAAAACAACGAAACATGTGATAACATTTCCTTCAACAAAGGCCGAAGAATGTCAAAACTTCTGTCCCATGCATGCATTGGAGGGAATCAAAGAGACATCTTCTGGCAGATTTACGCACTAGTAACACGAACGCCCGATAGTGTTTGTTGCACAAGAATTGCAGCACTTCGCAATAAAACTCTCGCAGGCAAGTGCAATGACAGAAACCTACTCGAAAAACAATTGGAAAAAGGGCACATTTTGCTACTCCTGCTGCACAACATGCACGAGAGCGATAGTGTTTTCGGTAATTTACGACTCAGACTGCGTGATAACTTCCATTCTTCGGTCAAGGAATTTAGGCATCAACGTTTTTGCTAGAACTACCTGCACGTGGCGTTTCTTCCATTCTGCAAGTGAAAATTCAAATAGTAAATTACATTAGAAGATGGATACTATCGAAAGAGTTATAAAACAAAATTATCGACGAGTCATTGTTTGATCCTGCCCAACGAACGCGCTACTTGAAATCAACCCGCAAGGCTCACAACGCGCAAAGCGTGCGACTAACAGTGACAAGAGAAAAAAAAAGCAAGTAAGGAGACTTCGAATCATTGTAAACCAGTTTTCGATGCATTTACAAATCGTCATGACCCTCGTTCTTACTGCAAAAAGCATACCGCTTCCCTACTGCGCAAGCAGTTTAGCGAGGCGCTCCAGATCCAAATCGTAAATGGATTTACATAACACACAGTCGATGTACACACCTTTATCTTTGCATACGCTCGCATCATATACTTAGAGCCTGCTGTACTAAAATTAGAATAAGATGTAAGTGCTTATCATCTAGAAGTGTATTCTCGTGAATTCTTTTTCTTCCAGAATATGATAAATCAAATTTTAGGCAGGCAATACGGTGGAACTCCGTCAAAGTATCGACACAATGGTCTCATTTGTTATAGTGTTAGGTTATTTGTGCGTTCTTTGCACCTCCTCTAACTTCTTTGTATTGCAATTAATCAAAAAACTAACATTACACCCAGCTGCGTTCCCCATGAACCGCAGGTATCGTTCTCTGGCTTCGGCCACTTGCTCACAGTTTTCATTCGCAGATGTCATCGTATAAAGCTAAATTTTTCGCTACGAATTCATTATTCCGTTTGGAGACGAAAAATCGAATAGTAAATTTGGTTATCAGTAACCTAAGAAAGTTGTGCACGATGATATTTAAAATCTTTAATACTATTTTACAACTGTGAAAGGTAACGCAACATATAACAAAGCATAATCTTAGAAACTACTCACTAACTAGTGATACATTATTGTTTCAAGCTAAAAAGTATTGTGGAGATGCGCACAACGTCCGGCTGGGATATAGGGTGAGATGAATTAGTAGGCGTGTTTCGCGACGAAAAGAGATTCAGCGGCGGCTCCGGCAGCGTCCTCTCCTTCGTACTTTCCAAGCGCAGCCATTCCATTGGCCTAGATTACAAAATTAATGATTTCAACAGAGAAAGCAACTACCGAAAATCGAATGAAAGCGAAAAAAGTAAGAAGCAGCTAAAAAAGAGGCAGCTCAACTTTTTGGAAGGGTACTTACCTGAGCTCTATGAAGGAACACTTTCTGGGCTGCTTCAATGTTCTCGTCCTTTCCTTGCCATGCCTTCAACACGGAAGCTTGCAAAGCGCGTCCGTATGAGAAGGTGAGTTTCCATGGCTTCAGCAAGTTCACCTAAATAAAGATCAGAATCAAGAATCAATTCTGAAAGTGCATTTAGCGGTCAAAACCATTCACTGACTTTGTTAATAGCGTTGAGATTAGAGGTAGCATCAATTTCTGATTGACCACCAGAGAGGAAAGTAATTCCGGGAACAGCAGCTGGGACAGTACGGCGGAGAGCGGTGACAGTGGCCAAGCCAACTTCTTCGGGGGTTGCCTTGAAGAAAACATTTGGGAAAATAAAAAGGCCAAATCCAAAATCAGGTTACCTTCTTGGGGCAGCTTTGCCCTGGAGTGACCATGTTGGGCTTGAGAAGAGTTCCTTCCAAGTATACATGATGGTCAGCAAGTGCTTTGTAAACGAAAGCAAGCACTTGTTCCGTGACCTGGAACGAAACGGGCCATCACGTCTGACTGGCTGCATTGTAGCACCCATCCTCCCCGAGTGGAAATGAAATGCATATTACCTTTTGTGCTCTGTCGATATCGTGGTCTCCATCGCACAAAACCTCTGGCTCGACAATTGGGACGAGTCCATTGGCTTGGCAGATGGTAGCGTATCTGAAGATTACACTTCAACAAGTGTCAAAATTTAGAAAAACTCCAAACTTGCCTGGCTAGAACGTTGGCATTCTCAAGCATACCAAGGTGAGATGGGGTGTGAGGTCCAATGTTTAACACACAACGCCATTTGGCAAAGCCACATCCTCCCTAAATCAAAGGTTGAGTATCGAATAAAACGCAAAAGCTGGACTGACTCATACCTTCTTGAAATGAGCAGCTCTTTGGGCGAGGTTGTCCAGACCTTGGGTAGTCGTCTCACCGATCGTTCCAGCAAGCGGGACAACTCCGAGATCAACCTTGATGCCGGGGATCACACCAGCCTTCTTCAGGATCTCCACGAATCGTACACCATCAGTGCTCGACTAAAAATAATGCCGTTAATGCGTTCTCGAGCACACCCCTGAACAACAGTTATTGGTCCACTCCCCCCCCCCTTGTCGAAAAACTCGCTAGCTACAATTTGGCACGAAACTGTTACGATCCTACAATTGCCAATGTTTGCTCGGATAACAAATTTTGTGGCAGCGTCGCATCCAATCGATGCCGAGCAAAAAACAGAAAGGGCAGATGTACTATCGACATATACAGGTACACAAACATGGAAACAATTAGGATAGCGAATGCCCTTAATTTGACAACACTTGTTTCGACATCACTGCACACTTTGATCGAGCGTACAGTGGGCTTTTTTGGCTATGTTCTAGATACAAAAATACTATATAAACATTTGATTTTGACTGGGACGCACTTTGCCTACGTTACAAGCTGTCACAGATTCATTTTAATCCAGTGGCAAAGACTATGCGCGTAATTAGCATTCCACTAGACCAAGCTAATGATTCGCTATTAGAAAGCTTTTTCACTCTAGAAGTACATGCGAATTGAAAAAGTATGTCCTGGCCTTAAAGATAAAAGAATGAACAACACACTATGACGGGTCAAATAGGAGTGTAAAAGGACTTTGCGGTGCTAGAAGAACTTTAACTAGCAACATAAAAAGCAGTACTTGTTTTATGCAGAATTGCACCCTGAGTTTTTGCTTCACACAAAGAAAAATCATCTACTTTCTGGGAAGGAATTCCACACATTCGCAAAACACTCTCAAGATCGCATTTGCCTGATTTCGGCTTTCAACACTTTCTTGATGTCTTCAAAAACTCGTGTACTAATTAAAACGCTGCAGGAAATACTGTTATCGTAGTCACGTGTGTTCCACTCCACATTCCGCACGTAGCTTGTGCAAAAGTTGTTTACGCATAATATCTCTTATCGCTCATGCGACAACAAAACTGCCACGATGAGCGCAAAAACCATTTACAAAAAACAAGACCACTTCTCCAAAAACATAAGCATGCAAAAAAAGCGAGATAACAAACCTGGTTGAAAGTCTCTTCGAAAAGAATTGCTCCAGAGATGTGCTCTCCAATGTTGGGAGTGGTGAACAACAGCTGCCTACAAATAAAAGCGATGAGTGATTGACTATTGGAGCGTAACGAAAGTGTCAACAAGCAGCCAATTACCTGTATTTTTGCCTGTTAGTTTCATTATTCTCTAGATTCACGGCAGCGAGTCTCTTTCCGATAGTACCTGGAAGATTAATGTCACGTTATGCAAGAAAAAATTTGTTTTCAAAGCCAAGATTAGAGAGATTTTCACACTGTGCAAAATCGCTGTTTTCAAAGATGATCAAAAAAACTTATCTTGACACGTTTACTGCCAACAAAAAAATTGCTTATTTCGTAAACAATTCATAAATGCATTCTATCAGCAATAAATACCACATCAATTTGGATTAGTACATTTCTCATCAATCATAAACCAGTCCCCAACATTCAATTCCGCATAATATCTATGACCTTACAATCTTATCTATTTTCAAAGAATAGGCACGACCTTGATTTGCGAGTTGTTTCCACGTGGTGTCTATTGATAACAATCGCTGACCCAAGTACCACGCAATCATAAATGATTGCAAAAAATGACTAGGCTTTCGTGGGAAATCATTGCAATAAAATTAATGTTGAAGCTAATGTTGGATTCCAGAGCCGTATTCCCACTTCAAAAAATTAGCTCATGTATGAAGTTGGCGAAAAAAGCTGTGGCTATACTAGGCGATGAATTCGAGCCAACTGGTGCAACTGCACCACACTTTATTTTGTCGTATATGACCCTGAAAGTTTTAACACCAAACAAACGCTACCGAATTAGTCAGAAACTAGCAAAATGCTACCAAACCAATTGCAAAATCGCCGTGTACTACATCTATACACCTTTATATCCAAAATGTACCTTCTCAAGAGTGGTGCAATTATACCGGAGGGCAAGCAACGTAAATCCCGTAACTCAAAACTATACCATTTTTTCATTGGCATCGGGTAATGTATCGGCCCCGACCCCCACCCCCCTGTTTTTGGCGGAGGAGACGTTTTGCACGAGGAGTTCTTTGGGGTCCAAAAAATTGTGTTTGTCGCCTAACGCCCTACACCCAATTGTACCCATATTTCCAAATTCTGGCATTAGAGCGCTATATGTTGTTCACTTCCTCTCTATTGACAAACACACAGATGCTACGAAATCATCTAATCTACAGAAAAGTCGCTCTCAGAATAGGAATGGGAAGTGCGAAAATTCATACTATGCAACTGACATACGATGACATCTGATAAGAGTTGCAAATGCGAATTGAAAACAGAAAAACGTCCTCAGACATAAGAAGGATTTGAGTCAAAGATAAGTCCTTGCACTTTGCAGTTTTTCTTATAGAAATTGGTCCGCCGACAGCAAGAAGTGATCTTCGTGCTTTAGTTCCGCATCTAACGAAGCAAGAAAGAAGCGGAACCCAGGATAACCTATCGAACCACTCGACTGCCGATTTGATGTGGCAGCCGCGAGCCGATGTGGCTCCGTGCATTCCCGACTTTTCGGCACTTGTCCACAAAAAAACTAACAGGCGGCATTGGAGCTTAGACAAGATAGATGCTCTGTTAGCAGGAAATCCGATGTAAGCAGAAAGTAAATAGTGAGAAGCGCTTGTTTACTTAACATTCTTTGTAGTTCCCGAATGACAAGATTTCAATACTAATGCGGAAGCGACGAGAATCAAGATTATACGCTAGGAGTTCACCTGAGGAAAAAAAACTCGTTTTCTCCAAGTATTCATCCAGCTGGCTTCGATGTGAGTTTTTAGAGGGACTGTAGATCCGCCCTTAGCTGGGGATCCCCCGATTGGAGCACAGATCTTGTTTGGAGCGCCATCTCTTACCGCTTGTTTTTAACAGCATCTTGACAAGCAGGATTTGTTTTCAGTTCTTTGTAACTTTCATTTGCGAATCCTCACTACTGTGAATGATGTTTTGTATCCTAAGCACTTCATTAGGTACGCTCCAGAATGCTGTAGGCTATGAACAGTGGAGACACAGTCTGCCTAGTTCAAACAAAAATTCAATATCACGAATTTTGCCGAAAGTTCTCTTTCGGGGTTTATTTGACATGCAGATTAGGAAATGATATTCATTTCGCATGGTATGGCCTTTGCCGTGTAGGTGAGGGTCTCAGATCACGCTGGAACTTTGCACGGGGGGTTATTCGGCATACTATCACGAATACCATGTGCATTCTTTGAGATAGGTCGCTGTAACTTTGCCCAAAGAGTTATGCAGATCACGGATAAAAAATTCTCGTCATGGTAGCGCCTTAAATTAATAGTGGGAATGCGACTTGGGGATGTAGTCGCAGACTGGTGTGGAAATTCGCCTAGAGCGACTAGTCGCGACCTTGAGATTTGAAGAAAGAGTTGCCTTTTTGCTCTTGAAGACCCGTTAGCAAAGTTACAGCAAATATGCGGCGACCGGTCGAATCGTATGGAACTTTGTGAAGGGGGGTTGTCTGACCCTCTGATCACATATATTGCGCTCATCTCGCATAATACGGCTTTGTGGATTTTTGAGATCTAAAGGTCTAACAAGGGAAGGATACTTGGTCGAAATGGCGTCTATATAAAATGTACACTATCTTATAAAGCATGCAATGCTGATTACAAATCTGCTTTCCTTATCTGCAAAGCGTATCTGGGAGGAGAGTTACGGCTCCTAAATTGCAGAGTCGTTTGCACCAGCGGTCGCGCGACCGCGTCGCGCCCGGGCATCAATGGCGCCGCCTCGATTGATGGCGCCGGCGCCGGCAAAATGGTCGCGCGACCGCTGGTGCAAACGACTCTGCAATTTAGGAGCCCTATGAAATTTTCGATACAAAAATCCGAAAGCGAGGCTATAAGCATTCAGAACCTTGATCCGTGAGGTCAGATAGGGCCATAATTACTACCAGGGCTTTTATGCAATAAATGCCTCCAATCTAACAAACCCATGTCAGTCATTACTCCTTTTAAGTGCCGAAACTAACTCAAGCCTGTTTTTTACCTTGGTCAAATCATTAAATTTTTACCTCAAAAGATTTACTGAAGTAGCCTCCCAAAAGCGCTTTGCAGGTAAGGAAAGCACAATTGTAATCAGCGTTTTATGCTCTATAAGATAGTATACATTTCAATGGAAACGCCACTTCGACCAAGTACCCTTACCTTGTAGGAACCAAAAAAGGGGTCTATGTGCCTATACGCTTTATCATGACCAAATTGCAGCCAAGTACGTGACTGCCCTCACCTCCACACCGTAACTTCATCAGGCTTGCTGTGCGAATAGTGCACGATTTTTGCGATCAGCGTGTCGAATGCACTCTGGACGAAGTTCCAGAAAAATCTAGGATTTCGAACTTATGCGTATATACGCCGTAATAAGGTGCTAGCGTGACAGATGAATATGTTATTTGTGAGAAACATGCTAGATAACCTCCCCCCCCCCACACACACAAGGTTTCAGTGAATTCGGAGATTTTCATTAGGGGTCGGCTGGAATAGTAGTAAAAAATCTATCATGCGAAATGAACGCGATTTATGTGATTAGCGCGTCAGATACCCCCTCATGCCCAGAGTTCCAGGCAGATCTTCGCTTTCTGCCCGTACACCCAGTGTAACTCCGCGAGAAGGTATCAAAACTTAGAAAAGTAGGGTATCCGTAATCACGTATTGAGAAATTCTTTGACAAAGTTCTCAGCAAATTTGTAACGTTTTGCGTACTGGATTGCTGGAAGTGGACTGATCAAATCGCATGTGTACTGGGGAAAGCTCGTATCACAAAATGTCGGATATTCCTTCCAGCAAAGATTCGCAGTGCTGTACCGCTGATTTTCCCATCGCTAGCTCGGGCACAAGCGTATTCAAGGCATACTAATGCTAGGTAACGAACGTGCTGAATCAAATTTCAACGATCTTCACGGCTTTCAGCCGAACAAGGCCGTTCGATGACGCCATTCTGAAGAGTAGTTAGCTCAGCGTTCAGAATGGCTTCGCTTCCAAGGCGGATCAATCGAAGTGTAAAGTCGCCGCATTTGCCAATACTGGTTAGTCAAAAAAGATGTGTTTTTAGAGTTTGTATCAAAAAGCGCTCTTTGATACCGCGTCCTGAGTAAGTGCTAGGAAGTGCAAATGGAAGTCCTAGAGAGCTTAAACAAAATGTGCTTGCCAAAATCCCTGGAAAAGACGAGGAGTAGCTATGGCGCTCCAAACAAGATCCCTGCTCCAGTCGAGGGATCCCCAGCTAAGGGCGGATCTACAGTCCCTCGAGTTTTTAGCGAGGATGATCTTTTCGAACGACCTCAGTGCTATCTGTTCCCGAGTGATAAATACGACCTACAACCGCGAAAGAAGGTGATGATGAAGAGATCAACAAACACAGAAAAAACAACAAGAAAACGCCGCCTTAGGTCTTTTCGACAAGCGTTGAAAGGGTTAAAAAGGAGAAATTTTGCTGTTTTTTGCAAGATTTCAAAGCAAACATTGGCTGAGGACTAAGGCTTGGAATATTTGGACGAATATTTAGAGAGAGTCCAAACACATATTTATGCTTTTCTAATTTCTATATGACCATAACTCCAAGATCAGCAATATTTCCTGATTGTAAGGACACGATTATTATATGATCTACTGCCTGAACGAAAATCAGCCCAGTTGTGAATCATAAAATATCTTCTATTTCTTCACATGAGAAAGTACCCCCAATTTCATGGACTTCTATGAAAGTTATGCTTTCTATGTACTGTACAACCGTAACGAATTTTTGTCCCACACTTCACTACTTGCCATTCCTTGTAAGTTTTTTTTTTGTATTTTGTCACATTTCTTCCCTTTTCGTAAGTTCATAGATTGACATATAAATGTTCAAAACAGAATGGGACATATAAACCAATGAAGGCTGGAAGGATAAATTATGCATGGGAGAATAATCGAAACTACCAAACAAAGTCGCGTTCGGGCTTTCGATAATTCGAAAGAAGACCACATGCATACTTCTTTTGTGAATCAAATCAAAACAAAGCCGTATGACTAACCAGTCGATTCATCGGCAGCGAGGATACCCTTCCCATCGGCGACGATCTTCTGGGCGATGTCTCTCAGCTCATCTTTTTGCTCCTGAAGGGAAGATTGTTACGGTACTACCCCAGATCCCAATTGAACCTTCCAACTTCTGGGTTTTAACTTCCCCAAATGAACATACCTGGGTAAGGGAATCCTTGTACGAACCGCCGACCTCTGTCATTGTGCGCGTTACACTGCAACTGCCGTCGGCCGCTGTCCGTGTATAAGCGCCGTCGTCGGCATCGATCGGAAGGAGGGGCCAGGCCGACAACACGCCCAAGAGCCAGCAGATCATCGCCGCTCGTCGACCTAAACTTCCTCTTAACTTAGACTTCATATCAATCGATATGGGGCGCTAATCTGTTCTGACCATTTGTGAGCAAAAAGTTGAAGAGAAATGTGAGAAATAGCGTATCTTGAGCGAGGCAGAATTGCGAAATTTCGTGGAGATTGGCACAGTTCGTGTACATCGATGACGCAATGAGAGATTCGATTCTGATTGTTGAACACACAGAAGTCGCAGAAGGGCACCGCCATTTACTGGGGGATATCTGGATGGTTTTAGAGAAGCTGGGTATACTACAAATTTTAGTGAGTCCAGAATATCGAGTTGGACCAATCTTGACGCAAAATATTTCGTTTTCTCAACACAAAAAAAAAGATGCAAAGAATTTTGCTTAGCACATGAGTGAACGAGGTACAAAAAGCTACGTTTGGCCACGACCCGGACAATGCCAAATCTATGACGTTCGCGAGCGCAACTCCATCCTTTTCCTTTTTTTTCTTTTTTCTCTGTCTGTTGGGTTTTGGCATTACTCGCTTGTGAAAACACTTAGCGTTTATAAAACAGGAATTGGTGCACAAGAATTCTAAGAGGGTCAAAAGCTTCCAATATCCAAATATAAAATTGCGGCAAATTAATTTCCGCAAAAAATTGAAAAACAAAATTCTGGGAAAATTAGTAATCATAATTATTGATCACATTGTTTTGGGAAACAGCCTTCAGTTCCACTTGCAGTATAACAATTGGCTAGATGTAATGTCACACTAATCGCGAAGTAAATATTAGGTTTTGTGCAGAAGACCTCTCAGTTCTTTGAACCTACCAGCAAACCCCTCAGAATGAAATGCAAATAACTCAGGCAGCACTTCACGCATTTTTTCCTTCCTCTTTTCAAGAGCTATAGTCCCCAAGCAATTCTTTCAACCACTGAGAAACGCAAGAACTTGCAGCTCGTCGTTTTCACCTTGTCTATCTATCGTTAATTTTTGAAGAAATTACATAGATTTTTGAGGCAATTTGCTAGTCAGCAGACAGGGTAAATCAATTTCAAACAAACAATTTTTTGTCTTTCTCCGGCTTCCTCCCTAGAATTTTGCAAAATAATCCCAAAATTTTAGTGAAAAAAATGCATACAATATCGAATGAAAGCAATAAGAATTTAGGACTAAACTAAAAACTTGATTGTTACTATCACGAGGGCACAACCAAGAGCGATTGAAGCAGTTAAGTACCAAGATTCTGAAGTTTAGAGTAGAATTATGCGATTCACAATTGAGAAATAAGGCGATTTTGCTCGCAAGATGTTTCAAAAAGAAAAAATACCTGACGAAGATCAGAGAAGAAGTTCCATCAAATGAACTATCACCTTTCATGTTCATACTCGAGGATAGACTAGAAAATCTATTCTAAAACTTGGTCAGTGGATAATAAGTCCCAAAAGGTCAACAAAAAAAACAAGCCAGAGAATTACAAATAATAGCATTAATTTGTAAAAGATTCGTCCTATCTGGTTTCGAAGTTTGCTCAAGACGTTTCTATTAAAAATTCTGATTTTTAGCGAAGATCCGTCGGCGATTATCTGGGTGCTCGTCGGAAGACAAGAATCGAGATTAACTTCAGCATTATGGACTTGAAATTCTCCTGACTGCTTCTGTGAAACGATGCGCATTAAATCTGTAGTTCTCTTTTTCATCCAGCGGACGCTGCAGACAGTCCGGAGACTAGACTTTCTTGAATGTTAGGACATTGTCGCTTTCGCGTCCGATTCTTTCTGCGAAGGTCTTTGAAGATTTTGTGCGAGAAATTTCGGTTACTCCCGGCCGAATGACGTTTTGAAAACTGAACTCTTTGAAAGCGTTAGTAACAGACAAGTTTCACTCAAAAAAACTCCATATGGTAGGGCCATCATCCAAGGTTTACGATACCCTTTTCATGATTGATTTGCAATTAAAGCTAGCTTAACTTCAATACTATAATCTTCACCATTTGGCTCCAAATCATTTGAAATTTCTATAGATAAATTCTATAGATGCTTTAAATGTAAATCCACGGGAATCCCATCATAGTATTGATAACGATTTGAGAAATACGATTTCAAAATGACGCCGAGAAGGAATTGAATCATTTTGATAGAAAAACGTCTATCCGCAATCTACTTGAGCCTTTTCCATTAAGAAGCCTGAATAATTCTTAACGAACCTATTCAAGTCCGATAATCCTCTAAAGAGGTGCCACTGATCCTCAATAGCTCCTTTCTTCAAAGGTTTGAAGTTCAGAGCAAAATGAATGTCGGATAAATTCCGCACTCACAACAAATTCAGTTGGTCTCTACATCCCTTCAGTCAGTCGGATGATCTTCAGGTTTTTCCTGAGACAAATGCCATGGCTTGAGTCAGCTCACCAACTGCTCAAAAATCGAAAACCCACATTCGTTGCCCAAATAATCTCCCCTAGAAACCTCCGTGCAAAATGGAGTGAACGTTCTCCATCGCAATCACTCCAAAAGCCGCATCCGGGTTTTTGTGACACTGCATGCTCTCCAAATTGCACAACTGGTTTGACGCAGTCAAAGAATGGAATTAGCTTTTTTCTTAACACTTTTCCAGATTATCGATATTTTAGTCTTTGAAGAGGGGAAGCAGAAATGATTTCAAAGTGCATGTGTTTTGACTCACGTAAATTTTCTAACAGGGAAAGGTAAGACATCGAACTAACCTTATAGTCATGCTCTTCAAACGATGGCCCCTCCTAAATTTTAGGTGGGGTAAATTTTCGGCAGTCAAGTCCCGCGCTTCAGGAAAGTGTTATACCAAGGTAAAATAAATTTTTATAAATCACATGAAATTGTTTACTTACATGTTTTGCAGCTCAAATCTCATGAATTTTACGATCCATTCTTGAAATACACAATTACTGATCTTAGCAAAATTCGAGTTTCACGACATAAAAACATCAAAAATGCCAGAAGTTTTTTTTTTCGAAGGAATCACTTGATGGAAATGACAGCACAGTCATCTTGAGCTAGATCACTTTCAACAATTTCAACAAATTAGCCCCACTCCTAATTAATGCTATTCCTCGAGTCCGCTTCTTCTATAGAGGATTGAATCTTCTTTGCCATTCTATGACGTCGCCATAGAAACTCGTTTACCGGACTGCAAAGCGAATTATTCAAGTGCCACCTTAACTGAAAGACCACATTCAAACTATTCTGATAATCTGCTGTGAAAGTAAGACATGGGCACAAAACGAGCAGTTGACAACAGTTGCGCTGTTTTTCAAAGGGTTTGTCAAACGGATTACGAAATTCAGGAAACCAGGAACGCAAGGATTAACGTTGGCGATGTGTTCGAACGTTCACATCGTAGAACACTCAAACTTCAGCGATGTGCTTTTAGCATATGTGCTTTTATCGTGAAAACGATCCTCATCTTAGCTCACACATGCACTAGGTGTAACCAGTTCGATATTGAAACATAATATTAGGTTGGTGCAAAAATAATGTCCGTTTTGCAAAGTTACACTTTGAGCTATAAGTTTGTCCGATCTTCATGTATTTAAATGTAGTCAAAACCATCAGAAGTAAACCTTTCGTAACTTACCTGCTCATACTGATATCAGAAACGGTAAGAAAATCATGTATCAAAAAACGAAAGTTTTTCTTTTGAAAACCTCGTTTTTTAGAGATCACAACTCCATTTAAGTTTTTTCCTATGCCTGGTAATCAGCTTATTTTGTAGCCGCAAGCCAGTGGTTTACATAATTGTAGAATGGACCTCAACGAAGGAGTTCCGGGAGAAGGAAAGATAAAATTCCAGAATTATTTACTTTTCTAAGCCTATTTGTGGTAGCCATATCCTGCAGAGATAGTTGGCAAGATGTCCTGCTCTCAAGCTTACAGAAATGAGCGGAGCATCAGCGATTGCCTTATTTATAAGGATGTTTTTATTCGTAGAATGCCCGCAGCGAAAACCTATTTTGAGCGTCGATTTCTCAGTCAAGATATTTTCGAAAAATCTATTCAAGCATGCAATAGGCAATAAAAAAAATTTCGTTTGCGCCTAGATTGTGGCCAAAGAGTGAAAGCATTGGAGTCTCGAATTTATGTGCTGCTGTGCAAAGTACTGCTGAAATCTTCACGACGATAGAAGCCAAATGGCATGGTGTCCCATGGTAGCCAAAAACTTGCTCCATCTGACGAATGTAAGATCATCCGAAAATAGTGAGTCCAAAAAAAGTTATAACAATCTAGATCAAAAAATTCGAAATCGGACAGAACTTTTGGAACAACTAATAATGTTCGTTCTTTTAGGCCTCTTTTCCAAACAACTTCTTCCCATCAGACTTCCTTTTTCGATATAGAATTTGCATATCATTGGAAAGCTTTCTTCATGCACTTTCCAACAGCGGTGCCATTATGACACATCAATGCTCTCAAACGCGATATGACATACATATCTACTTGTTATCGGTGGAAAGCTTGAGGTCCAAAGAGTATTTCTTGACAAATGCGAATCCATTAGTCTAGTTGCACAAAAGCAAGTGAGCAAAGAAAAAAGCCGCTGTTTCGACTTGTCTTGCGCATGCCGAAACATGCTTCTTTTTGACTATTGAAAATTTTTTACATGTCGAAAACGAAGGCAATCTTATAAAGGATGGGACCTGCTAGCGCTTATTGTTAGTCTGCTCTAGCGTATACATTACTGAACTTGCCACTGATCGCTGTGCGTAATTTCTGGCGCTTGTAGAAGGCTAAGAAAGGCTTTGATTTTTTGACAACATAATAAGCAAAATCAAGACAGTTTTGATGGAAATAGGAATGTGCATATGTTAGCCCTTTAATGCTTATTCGCTTCACACTTTTACATGAATAACTCTTTGGCACATTAGGGGAAATTCCTGCATATAAACTTTCTTGGATTTTGCTCAACTATGGGATCCCGCGCGCTTAGGCTAAGAAATGCAGATTATAAGGATTTTGACCAAAATTAATAGCATCGGAAAGAGCAAGAAGAGGGTTATCTGGTGATGTAAACATCATCGCATTATATGCAAAACTTCAAGGGAACTGCTGCTCCAAACATAAAGCAACAAAAGTCAGACAGAACTATCGGAAGCCTAGCATTTTTGCACCCTAATACCATACAGTTGACAAAGTATTAAGATCAGTGCTTCTGCACCCATCCACAAATCTTGTAAGAAAAGCTAAGCAAACAAAATTTTTTCCCCTCCTAGCTATACTCTCTTTGTGACTCCTTTCTTGAGCGTTAAGATAACCGCTTGAATCTCCAATCCATGTTATTTGTTAGGTCATCCCGAAAGTTCTTTCGTTTCATTTTTGAGAAATTGTAACCTTGTGCCACCTCTAGGACTTGCTTCTTAGGCCCGTATGCACGTACATCCCCGCGGGAGGGGAGGGGATCTCAGAGGGGAAGCGTCATATTTCGCTACTCTGTAGATCTTTCGTCTTCTTTCTTTATCTGTGATATGAAGGTTCTCATACTTTAATACCTGCGCATAACGGATGCCAGGTCATTGCCATACAAGATTAGATTTTCACAACTTTGTGTGATCCCCTGGGGATCCACAGGGGATTACCTCTCATTTTCAAAGTCATTTACCTTCCTACAAATTCAATGAAAATGTTCTAGATTTGTGCTGAAGATATAATATGGTACTGCTAAACATGTCTATAGTAGAAATAAGGGAAATCTCAAATTATCGAAATTTTCGATGAACCGCTGCTCGCAAGCCAGGGATTATCGAAAAATTGATAATCTTCAGATTCCATTTCTTCTGTCAAAAACATGCTTAGCAGTGCCGTAGTATATCGTCAATACAACTTTACAGCATTTTCATGGAGTTTTTAGAAAGGTAAATGACTTCGAAAATGAGAGGTGATCCCCAGGGATCACACAAAGTTTTGAAAATCTAATCTTGTATGGCAGTAACCTGGCAACCATTATGAGTAGGTATCAGGGTATGAGAACCTTCATATCACAGATGAAGAAGGGAGATGAAAGGTATACAGAGTAGCGAAATATGACGCTTCCCCTCTCAGATCCCCTCCCCTCCCCGCGGGAATGTACGTGCATTCGGGCCTTAGTGTATTAAAATAAAAAGTTTTTTGCTTTTTGACACATTCTTGCTGAGTTTCTACTATAATACTTTTTGGTTATAGAGATTTAAGCGGGAAAAACAAGACCATAGAAGCTCTAATTATTTCAAATTTGGTCAAAATTCAAAACGCTAACGAAAAATATGAAATCGTCAGTTACCTAATCCTAGCAGCTAGAGAGTTTGTGCTGTTCGGACGTTCCTTAAAAAGTTATGATTTTCGGATTCCGTACAGAAAACGCCAAAATCAAAAAACTTGTCACTTTTTGAAATTCATAAATCTTACCGGGACATCCATGCACAAACATTTCAGTTGCCAAGAGTGGGTAAAAAGATTCATGTAGATTTCAAATTCTTCTGCAACGTTACAGATTTTTGAGTACGTGATCTAAAATGATCAAAGCTTATATAGTCTTGTTTATGCATTGTTATCTCTGCAATCACAGTGTAGTAGAACCTCGGCAAGAAAAAACTTAAAAGCGAAAGACTTTTTTCTGATAAAATTTCGAAGAAGCAAGTCCGCTGTGATAGCGCATGGTTACAAACTTCCAAAGATAGAACGACAAGACTTTCATGACCTAATAATTCATGTAATCTTAGCTGTTTTTCGATACGAAATCGTGACATTTGTAGGATTTTTGACAGCAAATAGGAGACCTCCCTCAAAGTATTGGGACTTTTGTTCCCCGCTTTCTAATATCTCAAGATATCTAAAATATACTTTTTGAACTAATTGAATCTCAAATTCGGTGTATTCAAACTTTGTTGAACATGGAATGGTAGACATCTGGTATTATTCAATGCAGCTCCTTCTCCTCCCTCGGAAGCTAATTTCAACAAAAATGCAAAATTCATAGACCAAATTGTCATTCACTTGCGAATGCGCACTGTGCGCTCTACAATTAGGGGCCGGACATACACCACGCGATTTCATCGCCTAAGACTCTCACAATAAGACAACTGTTATGAACTCATTGCCTGCTGATCATCTTGCATTTCGGTCCTGATAGTTAGTTGCGATTAGTCGTGTCGGAAAACTATCACAACCAAAGCAAGATGATCAGCAATGGAATGCAATAAACTCGTAGCAGTGTCTTGTTTGAGGATCGCGAGGCGACGGATTTGCTTGATGTACGTCTGGTCCTTTAGATCTTCATACTTCGAAGAGATACTAACTCATCTATTCAGGGAGGTTGACAGCAGTTACGGTCACGTCTTGGAACAACATTTTGAAAACTTTCCGCTTTGGAGCAACTATGTGTCATGCAATTTTTTTTCAGGATTTGCAAGAGGCTCCCAACCTCCAATAGAACAACTCCAAACGCAGAAGCTTCTTTAGTGCATTTCACAAATATCATGGGCTTGTGGTTGTCCAATCCGAGTTTATCATTGAAAGGTCTTCAAAATGCTGATTTTAGACATTAGAATTGCAAAATGAGATTTATCACCCCATTGCTCCCTCAAAGGCGAGGCCAATGATCCAGTCGTTTTGAGGTAGAGCTGCACTTCCCCCTAGTTTGCCCCACATCAGATGGCAAATTCAGAGTTTTCAAATTCCGAAGCGTAGGCAAGGGAAGGATGTTTGGTCGAAGCGGCGTTTACATATGAAATGTTTACTGCTCTATAGAACATAGAGCGCTGTTTTCAAATCTGTTTTCGGTAACTGCAAAACGTTTCTGGAAGGGAAAATATGGAAATTTCTTGATGCATAAATTTGAACGGTCCGCTGCCATAAATCAGAACTGCAATCTGTGAGCTCAAATGGGGTCGTAATTACTTCCAGGGGCTGTATGCAGTGAATACCTTTCTATAAACTCATGCCAGTCACTACACCATTCAAGCGTCGGGAAGATCTCAACACTGTGTTTAGATTAGCCAAATCCTTGACTTTCAACTTCAAAGTCCCACAACTCCCCTCTCAGAAGCGCTTTGCAGGATATCGAAAGCAGATTTGGAATCGGCGTTCCATGCCCTATGAGACAATATACATTTCATATGGAAACGCCACTTCAACTAGATATTTCCCTTGGCATCATCACGGTGGGAGTTGAGCGCTGCTTTCAACAGAATTTTAGCACCCCAGAAAGCAATCTACGTGATCAAAATTCTGCTGTAAGAGGCTTGAAAAAAGTAAACAATTTTCTAGCAATATTCAAATAAAAAGAAGTCAAGCTGACATAGATCACGTAGCTGTGAGAAAACCTCAGCCCAGGATCAGATAAAAATAGTTGTGTAGTGGAGAAAGTAAATGATGTATCGCGCGTTATCACCATTCAAGATAGAGTAGAAGTTGAAACGCGCACTAGTACACATGGATTTATTCTCAATCAAGATGAGAACTATCACAGCTTGAGATGTAATATACAAAATGGTTTAAAAAAAACCAAACGTTCTAGCATTCACGTATGATGTTTACGTTTGACAACAAAAGTATACTTTCCACTTTGAGCAATAGTGTAAAAATGATCTGGATAGGACACTGTTATTTGGTTGAATCTGGTAGCCGGTAGCATGCTTGTGTTCGGAACATTTACGATCCTCTCGACAATATGTACCATTCCTTCCTTATTGCTCAGTTCACCATCAGACTAAAATTTTTAATGAATTATAGATCAGGTAAGATGTCGTTTTAGGAATGCTATTCATTTTTGCATGCATATGCAATTTTCTCTAGAGGTCAATAAGAATAGAATCGGAAAATGGTAAATTCCGCCCCCTTGCACGGGATCCTTTCATATACGCGCACTACGAACTTTTGAGATTTCTATGAAATTCTAGCCAAGTCTACCCTATATGCGAAAAATACCCTTAGCCAGAGTAGGAGAAAAAAAACGACATTCCTTTATTACAAGTAACAATACCAACTTACTTTGACGATTGCACCATCTGAGAAGACGATGTAGCCGCACTGATCGGGAATCTTTGAAAGAAAAGAAAAATTGCTATCAATTGTCATCTGAATATGGGATAATTGTGAACTGAAATAAGATACCAAAACAAGAAATAATAATGGTTGTCCATATTCTTCAGGAAAAAAGGCTGTCTTTCTTAATCTTTATGTAGGTATATCTATGAAAAGCAAAGTAGAATAAGTCTTGACAACACAAACTTTATATACATCTTGTTAGATCCACACATAATCATGCTATATAGTAACCGAGCTTGGATTTTTGTCTACCCGTTCCAACAATGCTTTCAGCCCCTCCTCGAATTTGGAGCATCTGAAAGTTTTTCAGTAGAGGAAAAAATGAAGACCTCCAAAGCAAACCCACCTTATAGGCATGTCAATAGCATAAAAAGGATTTTTTAATGCATAATCAGCATAAAGTTCGTAGAGTTTGTTCAAAAGTTGTTCAACAGGAATGGCAGTAGTGGGAGTGGTCACAACAACAAATTTTACACCTGTAATATGCATTGAGGATTTTTCTGAAAAGATGGAAAAATTGTGTCAACCTGTTCGGCTTTGCAAACATGACAAACGAAACTGAGTGGTTTCCATAACCTGTAATGAAAGATATGACTGTAAAAGACAACAGCGCATTCTGCTGATGAATTTCATTCTCTTGTAAAAAAAACTGTAGTTTTATGCAATGTATTATATTGGCAAGAAGGCGCCGCCTACCACTTCACTTCTCTACCCAAAAATATGCATGCTTGTGTAGTAAATGTGGTATGCAATTAGCTGAATAATATTCTCGAGTCCCACAAAGAACGATACTATGAGAAACAGTTAACCAACCTCGATTCCTGAGCTTCTGGCCGCGGGACTCAGCTGAACCGCTAACGAAAACAATGAATGAAATATAGATGACAGAATGATTTTTTCATTTGTTGAAACGGAAGGTGGGGAAAATCTTACGCTAACCTGCAAGAACGAAACAGATGATGAAACAAATTTGGAAAGTTGGAACAATGTTACTCACAGGAAAATTCGCTTCGTCCTCTAGATAACTGAATACATCTTGTTCAACACCATCAACTTCGAATTTTGTTCCGGATACTTTAAAACCATTGACACCTGTGACGCGATATCTGAAAATAATTTTTGTACAATTCAATATGAACAACTGAACACTGCAAGCAGTGGCGTACCCAGGATTTCGGCTCGGGGGGGGGGGGGGCGCGACAAAAATTTTTTTCTAAAGAAGGTGCGTGGCGTTAGCCACGCACTCCGAAAATTTTTTTGGGGTGGTTCTCAAAACTTTTGCGGGTCTCCGACCCCTAAAATCTGGAAAAAGGGGGCGTGGCTGATGCCACGCCCCCCGAAAAAAATTTTTTTACAAAGCTAATTTGAATTTTTAAAAATTTTTAAAAATTATTTTAATTATTTACAAAAATAAACAAGTCACTTGCACATTTTTATAACCCATATAAGTAACTTTCAAAGATTTCGCGACCCATTCTCGGGGGGGGGGGGGGGGGGGGGGCGCGCGCCCCCCCCCCCCGCCCCCCCCCCCCCTCGGTACGCCACTGCTGCAAAGGGATTTCCATTCACACTTTCGTTCCCCGGCAGAACATGGAGCAAATGTGGAAATTCTTTGTGAGTCCTTTTGAAGAATGGAGACTCAAAGTTGTCAAAAATTTGATTTGAGGTGATAATTCACTGATCAGCCGAGAGATGCGGCAAAACCTTGTATCACTTTCGCATTTTACACGCGAATACGATTATTGGCAAGTTTTTCCTGCTGCCGATAAATACTACTCGTCTATTTTGCAAACACCAATTCTGAACGTATAATATTAATCATTCGTAAACACTACGCTAAAGTTCGTGACCGATGTGTTCCTGATGGGAAAAGTGAGAAGAAAGGAGAACAACGCAGACGGCGCTGCAAGAACTAAAAGAGACAAAAACGGCGCAAAAACAGACATTAAAACGGGACTTTCCTATACTACAGTACCTATACTAAGTTTCAACTCGGTTTAAGCGGAAATTGGACCAGCGGGAGTCCGCTTCGCACGATTCGCGCCGCTTTTCAGTCTGTGTCTCTTCATTCTAATCTATCGCTATGCCAGTGGCGGTGCGGACGCGCTGCTCCACTTGGAATGTTTCGCCGCTCCGCGTTGAAAAAGACTGTATAAGTGGTCCTCTTACACGTACCCACCATTAGGCTATAAGCGTGCGCGCGTATGCAACACATCTTGGTCGGTAGTTCACAACAAAGATTTAGAAAAATGGATAAAGTAAGCACAAATACCTCTGACTACCTTCACAGAGGTTGGATCTTCAAACACTAATACAAATGAAAACAAAGATGGAAGCGTATATATGAGATACGCGACTGCACGATGCCGCAACACCATCTACTAGGCTACGATCGCATTTAGGGTCTTGAACAGTTCCCGTAATAAATCTTCAACATGCATACCATGAGTATTATCTACGCAAAACAAGGATGAAAACGGGATAAATAAAACCTTTATAAGACTGATACATTGAACAGATAGGGAACAAAAACTTCAGCCTTTTTGAAAAACCACAAAGTAAAAACAGTAAATAAAAAAGCCTATAAAAGCCTCACCTCAGCTTAACGCCATCCTTTTCACCAAAAACAACTACTGCTTTTTGATCTATTTCCTCCAATATTATATCAAGCGGATAGTCGCATATCCTTTCAACCTCGGCCTACAATGCTTGAATTAGTTCATTTATGTGTTGAATTTCACTAAATGTATAAAACTGTATCTACTAGTATACCAGCAACAAGGCAAATTCAAACTCACCACATCTGATCTGGCTTCCCAATCATAAATCAGACTTCCTGCTCTGCTTATAATAAATACCTGCTGTATTGACATTCAAGAGAGCCTTGAGACTAGAAGTATGTTATATGAGCATGACTAAACTCAAGATCCGATAACTCAAGATCTGACTGAGTTGACAGTTCAAAAGAATTCTCGACCATTGAACAAATAAATTTTTTATTTGTTGTCACTTTATAATGAACAGAAACAACGATTAGCATGAGATCGAAGTTATAAAGATTACAGACAACACTACCTGTTTATAGGTTTAAGATCAAATCCTCTAGATTGAAGGTCTTTTGAAGATTCTGCCTTCAGCGCTGCATTCAGCTCTTCCCTGGCTTGCTTGTTGACAAGAGTATAATCATCTTCGGTCTTTTTCATGGAATCCTGGAGAACTTTCAGGGATTCTTCAGCCGTGAATTCCATCATAAGTGTATCCGACAAAGCCATCCAGGTGGTAGACTCCTGAAGAACATCATTTCGGAGGCTTGCAACAAAAATATGGTACGTAGAATGGCTCCAACTATCTATTTTGATTAACTTTAAATGAATTACAAAGTTGAACATACCTGGCGAGGTTTCTTTAGTAAACGCAACGCTTCCCGAATTTTCTGCCTCCGCTTGTCAAGTTCTATGAGTTTAGACGTACTATCTTGAACTCTGAAATCAGGGGACATGATAAGTAACGATTAATAACATCCACGTTTTTTTGCGATTGAGAAGCAGGGCGAAAGACATCCCAACGCATTGCTGCACACAGACTGAGTCAAAGAACAGATAGCTTCTGATAATCTTCAAACATGTAAAGATATATGTACATATAAATGTTGCACGAAGTTTTTCTGTCATTCACATAGAATAACACTGGCAGTCCTCACCTTTCTGATGCCAAGCAAGAGTCTTCAAAGCTGCGAAACACAGCTGATAGATGACTTCTATCCTCGTTGATCATGGCGCAATTGCGATGAAAATGAACAAACGCTGGATATGCCTCCAAATAGAGCGCCCCATGGAGACGATGCTGATCGGCGCAAATTTCTAGCTGGAGCACGACAAAACATTTACAGTCTTTTCCAATCCGGACCATGCCAAAAATGGGGTTTTTGATTTCACAACTGCTTTGGTGACGATCCAAGCACGCATAAAGGGCGGGACTTGTTTATCAATGCGTGCTTGGCCGTTATATTTGTAAGTATTATATACAAGTCCCGCCTTTTATGCATGCTTGGCTGTGTTTTCGTGATCCTGGTCGTTCGTCAGCTTTGGAGGTAGCCTACTCTGATATTACAGTCTGCCCCAATCCTAACCAGCCAAAATTGGCATGGCGGGAATCCGCGTCGCCAGGGTTTTGCGGTCACGCCCACGGCCTGCTTCTCTACTCTCTCTTCAATCCTTTTGCTCTCTCCGACAGCGCGCATATGCAGCGCAGACCGCTGGCGCTGCGAGCGCACAAATTTACACCGGCGGTTCGGCCTAATCTCAATTGGAGCAGACTGTATCTTCGACATGGCTGAAGCTCCCTAGACAGAGTTAGTCCAAATGTCCAAGGACCAAGTCGATCTGATGGTTTCTCGAATAACGAATTCTGCCTTCACCTCCCTGCTGCCTCCGGCAAACGGCAACGATGGCCGGCCCCTCGTCTAGACCCACTTTTGCGAAGCCCGGCCTCGAAAAGCAGTTCAACTTCAACGCTTCGGTATTAGCCGCCCTTCAATCAGTTTCTCATGGTCAGTTGGAAGCCTAATAATTTGAGTTTCCATTCGATTTGGTTTTGTAAGCTAAAATTTGTTGTCTAAGCATATTGGAGACTAGCTGGAATTCCATTTCTGAACCGATCGGGACCAAACTTGGCACACATACACTTCGGGCCCCGGCGGGTGTCATAGGCTACTGTGCCAACTCCCAGCCCCGTAGCTCAAATTTTGCAAAAAATCGATAAAATCGATATCGATCGATGACGAAAAGTAGCCTATGACACCCGCCGGGGCCCGAAGTGTATGTGTGCCAAGTTTGGTCCCGATCGGTTCAGAAATGGAATTTTCTATTCGGAACATACGTACAGACAGACATACATACATACAGACAGACATACATACAGACAAACAGACATTCAGCTTTACATATAGGAAGAGTATGAGATTCTCCTGAGTATTCGTTTGCATATCCATCAATTTTTCGCATGCAGAATCCAGAAAATGGTCAGTTGAAAAATGGCTTTTGAGTTTTGCGATGATTGTCTTCCAATTATTTTTGTCTTTGAGCAACATCATCGTGAACAGCTTTTGTTACACTTTTCAAATGCGCTGGAAGTAGGCGAACCATTTTATTGTGTGTTAAACCCATTATCGAAGAAATTTCTTCGAACTGGGTGATAAACTGCATAAGACCTTTGGTTCCTTGATCTCCAGAAAAAGTTGGTAATTTGTAACAATGAGGAGAGTGTTAGTTTATCCAAAACCGTATCCGGGCGCGCGGGATTTTTTAAATCGACCAACCCAAACACCCCAAAGGACTTTGCAACCAAAGAACCCTATGCGGTGCTGTATATTGCTTGAGAGAATCGTAAGGCATAAGGATCGCCTTGCAAAATACAGTGAAGCGGCTGAGGGACTAGGTTGAAAAATCGAAAAAGGTGCGCCTTGTACGTGTGAAATTAGGATAATTCGCTGTGGTGGGAAAATTTGCCGGGGTACTGTGATGGCGGAAAGACTTGTGGTTGTACGAAATTTGAAGACTGCTGTTGGGAAGTTAATGCTTGAGCCTGCTCTTAAGTTATAGGAATGAAATATTCCTTTTTCGAGATACAAAAACTTGAGGCTGGCCTTGAGTTGCAGGAATTAGAATTTGAGTTGGCTCTTGAGCTGCAAAAATTGGTGTTTCTTCTTGAGTTACTGAAGTTCGAGGTTGCTCTAGTGAGGGACAGAAACTAGAGAGTTTCCTGCCTTTGGTGACGAACGAAGATGAAGAATTTGAAACTATGGAAGAAACCTCTGTTGGAGCCAACGAAAAAAGTTTAGTAGGGAGAAGCTGCACGACGTTTGATAGGACTAATTGATTTATACGCACTACGCCTTAAGGGCCGGGCATACTTCACGCGATTTCATCGTCGCGATTCCTGGTCGTCGCGATTTGCTGCAAGTAGCGACGAAATCGCGGCGACTGAATCGCTAGTTGATTGTTCATGGGCATACTTCTGCTCGACTTGATTTTTCCATTTGTATTTTCATTTTGTAGTCCAGTATCAACTCCAACCTCAAGATCACATTAAAATTTTATTGTATTTCAGTGTCTGGGCCTCACTATTTCCGATTTCGCTCAAACTTGGTTCAAGGGGGTTCTTTGACTTACTGATGCCAAAAATTATAATCATTGTGCTTCGTAAGGGGACAAAACCATGGATTTGACTGGAATTCCGTGTAGAGAAGTTATCAACATGCTGATCACAAAAATGATGCTCATATAGAATTTTGAACATACACTTGGAGTTGCGGTGAGCATATGGTGGGTGTCAAAGTCTTAGACTTGCCTGAATATTTGCGCAGTAAATTTATTTGATAATCTCATCACGAATATTGTGTTCAGTTCGCTTGAAGAAGTCTTTACCAAGCTTTTTTGTATCTAGTGACCCAAGAAAAAATGCCAATTGTTTGTGGTTAACACAGACTGCAAAAAATGGCGCTTTCCTGAGTGATCATCATGATAATCATGTTCAGCGCGCCAAGGAACCTCCTCTCCCAAAAACAAATTTAGATCGAATCCACGACTTTGACGCTCTACGGTATACCCACAGTAGCCCCAGTGGCGCTACCGCACAAAATAACCAGGATATTCGGCACCAGCAGGTCGAATAACCCCCCCCCCCCCCTTGACCGAGTCTGAGCGAAATTCACGGCTTTGAAATTTTGGGTTACGGATAGCACCAAAACGGGTACTAGAGGATCAATTTACGGAGAAGCAACGCACTCTGGCAAAAGAGAACTATTTTTGAAATAGTAAGCAAGAAAACAGCCCAAAAAGCTAAGAAACGAGCATAAAAAGGTTAAAAGAAGTCCAATCTCAGCGATTAGGTCATGTCGCTCGTTTGAAGTCAGCGACGCGATATAGCTGAGTTTCGGGCAAATCGCGACGATTTCCTTGAAGGAAGTATGCCCGGGGAAAAAATGGTCAGTGATTAGTCGCGCCGAATAACTATCACAACCGAATGGCAAAATGATCAGCATGCAATGGACCCGTAACAGTTGTCTTGCGAGGCGATGAAATCGCGTGATGTATGCCCGGCCCTTTATTCTATGAATTTTATGCGATGCATGCGAATGCGATCTTGGTCTTCTTTTGCCAGTCTCACGCTCGGTTGTGTTACAAGGTTTTGGAGTAGCACAAGAACTTAGTTCAGTGCCAGAACTGTTCATGTAACGATAACTTCTCAATAGTGAAGGTTTTGTAAAAAGAATCCAAGGAAATTTTTCATTTCCAAAAATATATTCGATTTCAACGACCAAACGCGAAGGCAACCGCAAACTCGTCGGGTATCCGACGAATGAGGGCCCTTATCGACCAAATGGTGTTGAAAATTCAAACGGCCGCAAATTCGTCGAAAACTTGACAAGGACCACTATCGACACAGCTGGAGACAAAGAAAAAAAATTATTTGCAAATGCAAAAGTTTTTTCAAGTAGAGAAATTTCCGCACTAAGTTTTTGTTCTGAAATGAAGACAACCGAGCGGACGATTTGATGTTAATAATATGAGAGTATGGGGATCGCACCTGTATTCCAGTCGTTACTGCATAGGTTGCGGTTGAGATAGGCTGGAGTCGATAGAGGGTTGTTGTTGGTCGGTAGCGAGGTAGTATAAGTAAGTGGAGAGGCTAGTCGGTTGGTTGCAGGCTAGCGACAGCGGCGGGCGACGGAGGTACTGTTGGTTTACTGCAGCGGACTTCAAGCTCCGTAGAAGTTTCGAAAGAGGCTAGAGAGGAAGCTTGGAGACGACTGAGAGGTGTAGACACCATTGTGTTGAATCATCCAAGACTGTCATTCTAGGGCGGGTAGACTGATATTACGTAACTATAAGTGGGCGGAGCTAAAGATAAGGGCCAAATTTGAGGGGGGGGGGAATTTTGTTGCCTTGTGTTCTTTTAATAATCTGGGTAGTCCTATAGGTGTATATCCAAGGGTTATGCTATTTTGGGCGTGAGCAGAAGATTGATATGTTGCATGGAGGTAAGGTCATGCCATGAATACTCTATCATTCGCTTATTAGCATTGACGTTGATCGTTTCCTCTCTTATTACGGAGCATTACTACTCACTCTCTTTGCATTTCAAAGCTATTGAATTTAGAATAAACTTCAACTTTAACCACTTCGTCATGTCAAGCTATACGGGATGGACCTGAAACTACAGATTCGGAATTTGAAAATGTAAGTTATGCTTTTGTTTCATTCAGATGTAAGAAAATCTACGAAATATTTTATTCGTTTCAGGTATTCGATGCGTACTTCGACCGCTATTTCACTCGTAACTCCACAGCTTTGAAAAAAGTTGATGAGTTGCAAGTAGAAGTGGGAAGGCAGTTAGTGGATGATGGGCGGATGAGAGGTGCTCTTGCAGCACAGGAAAATAGAGTGAACCAATTGATCATAGATCTCCAGACTGAGAGAAACAGGGCCGAGCGAGCGAAAGCTGACCATCAAGCGACCTCAGATTGATGCAGTAAGAAAGTAAGCAGGAGTGGGTTGAAGATGAATGTGAGTATTTGAATTACAGCTGCAGTATTATAAACGTCTCCTTTTTCAATAATCTAAATGACTGTAGGAAATTGAGAGGATTCTCGAAGATTTCTATAAGGCGAGTAGAAATCTGCTTTCAAAAATAGGGCATGAGGAAGATTCTCATAATGTGCTACTCGCCGAGAGGAATTTATGATGGCGAGCCGAGGAACGTAGCTCGTTCCTTTATTGATATTCAAGGCGATGGATAGGCAACGCTAATGCTCTTACTTCTCGATGGCACTCATTTGGTGATGGGTTTAGCCTGATTGATGTTAGCTATTGAAATGAATAAGATACTTTCTCTACTTATGCGGGGCTCACATGACGCTCCGTACAGTTTGAGTGACTATGCGGACAACATCTGCAAGGGAGACCACGATGGTGTCTATGTAGTGGTTTCGGCCATCTGAC